GATCCCGTTAATCGCCTCTTACGACAAGCATGGGTTACTGAAGATTCATTTTAACCCGGATCTTCACGGGTTGCGTAAAAGTGAACTCACTCACTAAAGCTAATGGGTACGTTTACGCCACTTTCAGAAAAAAAGCTGACATATATAGCTGGAATATTGCTGAGTACGGCGTTTAAACAACCAACCAACCAACTGGAACTGACAAACGTGTGTTGTACTCGGCAAGTGTCACATATATCTAGGTGGATATGTCCTCCTGTTGGTGGTAACAATATGAGCCCTGTGTTCTTGCGTTGGCATCCTGCAACACAAAACGGCGTCAATGGAGGCTAGGTAATGGCACCCTTTGTGCCAGGACGTTGTCACGGTAACACTGCCCAATGACACGTCCATGAATAGCACGTAACTGTGTTCTGCCAGTCACGGAGATCCCTCTCCACACCATGAGTGAGCCATCCCCAAACCATCGATCAAATTTTAATGTTAACGGCTTGAAAACGCTCCTTCAGTCTACATGAAGCTCTGTTGTTGAACAGTAAATCTATTTATCCGAAAACATAGCGTTTGCCCAACGACAGTTGGTCCAGCGGTGCCGCTGTTGATGCCAATGACGTCTTGTGACGTTCCGCCAATCGTGAGATCATTAATAATTAATAACATCTGGACAAAATAATTCCGGAAGCTAACTTAACCTTTGGGTGTCTATTACTTTACTAGTATTTCGGAAACCACTGTCCGCTGAACAGCTACTAGGAACTGCAAAGTATATATGATCTGTTAGTGCTGAAATTATATACTGATGCTTAAAGGACAGTTAAGTTTGAGTGTTACTTGTTAAAAAGTCAACAATTATTTCCTATTGCAATAATACCGAGAGGACTTTAATGTAGATATCCGTTATAACAGAAACACCGATAACTAGGGTTTCATTATACACAGGTAGCTTGGTGGCAGTTGTGATATGCGTTGTGATATGCGTGCATTTATCGTCTATGATACTCCAAATAATTATGCAGAATCACTTCCCTTCACCACACCAGGAAGCTATGATCGTGAGTTTCATTTTTAAGATTTGATCTGAATTTTATTTGTAGGCATCATAACAAGAAAACTGTGCTCGTAAATTTCACCAAAGTGGTAAACGCATCAGACATCAGTTCGGATTTTTCTCCGCGTTAAGCAAACATGTTCCTCGTAGCGGTGAAACAAACATGTAACCATTTTATAATGAAATCACTGTTCCCCGTAGCGGTGAAACAAACATGTTACCAGTCTATAATGGAATCACTGTTCCCCGTTGTGGTGAAACAAACATGTTACCGTTATATAATAGAATCACTGTTCCCAGTAGCGGTGAAACAAACATGTTACCAGTCTATAATGGAATCACTGTTCCCAGTAGCGGTGAAACAAACATGTTACCGTTATATAATAGAATCACTGTTCCCAGTAGCGGTGAAACAAACATGTTACCAGTCTATAATGGAATCACTGTTCCCAGTAGCGGTGAAACAAACATGTTACCATTCTATAATGGAATCACTGTTCCCTGTAGCGGTGAAACAAACATGTTACCAGTCTATAATGGAATCACTGTTCCCCGTAGAGGTGAAACAAACATGTTACCAGTCTATAATGGAATCACTGTTCCCCGTAAGCGTTCCCCGTAGCGGTGAAACAAACATGTTACCATTCTATAATGGAATCACTGTTCCCCAGTAGCGGTGAAACAAACATGTTACCATTTCTATAATGGAATGAAACAAACATATTTACCACTATAATGGAATGTTCCCCGTAGCGGTGAAACAAACATGTTACCGTTATATAATGAAGAATCCGTAGCTGAAACAAACATGTTACCAGTCTATTTAATGGAATCACTGTTACCCAGTAGCGGTGAAACAAACATGTTACCAGTTATATAATCACTGAGTAGCGGTCATGTTACCGTTATATAATGGAATCACTGTTCCCAGTAGCGGTGAAACAAACATGTTACCATTCTATAATATATAATGGAATCACTCACTGTTCCCAGTAGCGAAACAAACATGTTGAAACAAACATGTTACCAGTCTATAATGGAATCACTGTTCCCAGTAGCGGTGAAGCAAACATGTTACCGTTATATAATAGAATCACTGTTCCCAGTAGCGGTGAACTAGCACACTGGCCCTATGTATCTAGGAAATATACTGAAGTCTGTTTAATCGTCCACGAAACATAACAGGGTTGATAAACGGAAAATGGAAACAATACCATTACACAAACACGGCGTGGTCACAGAAATATAGCATAACCAGAACGCATGTAGAATTAATATCCTTGTACTCAATTTCATCTTTCTCGGGAAATGACCTTCGTTTAACAGAGGTGTAGGATGCGTGGCATCGGAAGTTATAGCAGTATTACAATGAAGATGATATGTACCTAATTCGGTTAAAAATATGTGTTCGTTTTACTCAGTGCATTTAAACATTCGTGGAAATGTACTTGTTGAAAGTAAAAGCAATCCACTCGCGGATTTTAATTGACATACACCTACATCACTAGAATGCGTTTTGTTGACATACACCTGTAGACTTACATCACTAGAATGCGTTTTGTTGACATACACCTGTAGACTTACATCACTAGAATGCGTTTTGTTGACATACACCTGTAGACTTACATCACTAGAATGTGTTTTGTTGACATACACCGGTAGACTTACATCACTAGAATGCATTTTGTTGACATACACCTGTAGACTTACATCACTAGAATGTGTTTTGTTGACATACACCTATAGACTTACATCACTAGAATGTGTTTTGTTGACATACACCAATAGACTTACATCACTAGAATGCGTTTTGTTGACATACACCTGTAGACTTACATCACTAGAATGCATTTTGTTGACATACACCTGTAGACTTACATCACTACAATGTGTTTTGTTGACATACACCTATAGACTTACATCACTAGAATGTGTTTTGTTGACATACACCTGTAGACTTACATCACTAGAATGCATTTTGTTGACATACACCTGTAGACTTACATCACTAGAATGCATTTTGTTGACATACACCAATAGACTTACATCACTAGAATGTGTTTTGTTGACATACACCAATTGAGTTACATCACTAGAATGCGTTTTGTTGACATACACCTGTAGACTTACATCACTAGAATGCATTTTGTTGACATACACCGGTATACTTACATCCCTGAAATGCGTTTTGTTTACATACACCTGTAGACTTACATCACTAGAATGTGTTTTGTTGACATACAACTATAGACTTACATCACTAGAATGTGTTTTGTTGACATACACCTGTAGACTTACATCACTAGAATGTGTTTTGTTGACATACACCTGTAGACTTACATCACTAGAATGTGGTTTGTTGACATACACCTGTAGACTTACATCACTAGAATGTGTTTTGTTGACATACACCTGTAGACTTACATCACTAGAATGTGTTTTGTTGACATACACCAATACATTTACATCACTAGAATGCGTTTGTTGACATACATCTGTAGACTTACATCACTAGAATGTGTTTTGTTGACATACACCGGTAGACTTACATCACTAGAATGTGGTTTGTTGACATACACCTGTAGACTTACATCACTAGAATGTGTTTTGTTGACTTACACCTGTAGACTTACATCACTAGAATGTGGTTTGTTGACATACACCTGTAGACTTACATCACTAGAATGTGTTTTGTTGACATACCCCTATAGACTTACATCACTAGAATGTGTTTTGTTGACATACACCTGTAGACTTACATCACTAGAATGTGTTTTGTTGAATACACCAATAGACCTACATCACTAGAATGCGTTTGTTGACATACACCTGTAGACTTACATCACTAGAATGTGTTTTGTTGACTTACACCTGTAGACTTACATCACTAGAATGTGTTTTGTTGACATACATCTGTAGACTTACATCACTAGAATGTGTTTTGTTGACATACACCGGTAGACTTACATCACTAGAATGTGGTTTGTTGACATACACCTGTAGACTTACATCACTAGAATGTGTTTTGTTGACATACACCTGTAGACTTACATCACTAGAATGTGGTTTGTTGACATACACCAATAGACTTACATCACTAGAATGCGTTTGTTGACATACATCTGTAGACTTACATCACTAGAATGTGTTTTGTTGACATACACCGGTAGACTTACATCACTAGAATGTGTTTTGTTGACATACGCCTATAGACTTACATCACTAGAATGTTTTTTGGCTTACACTTATTGACTTGCGTCAGTAGGAAGTGTTTTGTTGACTTAAACCTATTGCCTTAATCACTAGAATGCGTTTTGCCTGTTGTTTAGACATAATCAAACGCATTATTGTTGGTCATGTCTATTCTGGTTGTTGGTATAAATATGGCAGCTCGGTGAAGCTGTTGGTATGCATTGTGTTTGTTGTTTAGGCCTAACTGATAATTAGTATACTATATATATTTTTGTTGTTCAGACAAGTGTTTTGTGTGTAAATATACATAGGTGCTGATCAAAGCTAATTGAGCTGTTAATTGCAAATGACCGATTTAAGATGTTATTGTTTAAAATAAGATTCAACAATCCACAACTAACATGAAGTTTTAGTTCGGTCAGTACATTTTAGGGAGCATTAATTACATTTTGCCATGACTTCGATAATTATCAATGCCTCTCTGCCTAGACAAAAAACACATCACTGAAACAATTTACTAAAGGACTAAAGACTAAAATCGTATAGCTCATGGGAATAAAATACATGAACGTCTTTTTTCCCAGCCTCCTCTCAACCCGCAATTACTGAGCCACGAATAAGAAACACTCAGTATCCGCTTTCTGAAAACGATTTCCAAGTTCGATGTGTGGCAGATGGCGACCCACCATTAAGGTAGTGCGAATTCTCTTTCACTCTTTCTATCAAAATAGCTTTCACACCACTGCTACGACCTACCGGCGATCCCAAGGTTGCCTTGTAACGCCGAGGTGCGCGCAGTAAGGTCTCCCACAGCACCGCGGCAACGCGGTGGTGTTTCCATTGGACGCGGTAGGGTCGCCTAGAACGCCATGCGACGGCGCGCACTTTGAGCATGCACAAAGTACGCGCCGTCGCATGGCGTTCTGACATGCGTCGCAGTAGGAACGCCGTAGGGTCGCTCTGTGGGCGCGCACCGAAAACGCACATGATCGCAGTATGGACGCACTGGTAGTCGGCGGCGCTTGCACGGAATCCCCATGGAGTCCTTCGTGATGTCACTGCGTCTCTACTGCGTCCTGTGACAATTTTAAAGAAAAGTGCAACGTTTTTTCAGAATTTTCCGGTGGAGTGTGACGGAGTGTTCTTTAGTTTTACTGTTATATGACGGCGTCTCAGTTTAATGTGGGAGGGAAACCCGAAGTAATACAGTTTTGGTAACCTCTTTGCTAAAACCAACATCACGGAGACGTGATGTGCCTAAGGAACACAGGTATGACAGTTACCTCATCCCAGATTCCAACCCCCATCCCCAACGGCTTAATCGGCACTTACTTTCAACACTAGTGCATGTGCATCCCACACGAAACATTGACTAAACTCTTACTATATCATTCATCTCTACATTAAACCGGCGAGTCGAATTGGATGTGTTAAATTCGGGCTTGGCTCGAACTCTTATCTGATCTCAAAACCAGATACATTTTGTATAATTTTAATAACATGCACATAGGTGTATTATTGTATGACAAATACATTTTTTAATGTAATGTTATTTAACACGGACGTTTGGTACGCATGACGTCTGTTATCTGATGGGTAGGTAGGAGTGAGTTAGTGAGTTTAGTTTTACGCCGCTCTCACCGATATTCCAGCGATATGGCAGCGGTCTGTAAATAATCGAAACTGGACCAGACAATCCAGTGATCAACAGCATGAGCGTCAATCTGCGCAATTGGGAACCGAGGACATGTGTCAACCAAGTCAGCGAGCCTGACCACCCGATCCCGTTAGTCGCCTCTTACGACAAGCATGGGTTACTGAAGATGAATATTCTAACCCGGATTTTCACGGGTGGCTTGGTAGGAGAGTAACGAGGCGAAACCGAATCCTAACTATTTTTCTGGTAGAAGACGTTCGTAACAAAAAGACATAGTAACCACGTTTGTAACAAACGCGCATATGCGGAACAGACGGATGTAACGAACAGTATTGTTCTCGTTGTTCCGTCCATTTGCTGTAATGTTTAAGAACTACGACTGTAATGAACTTACATTGGTGATCAATTTTGTAATAATCGTACTTTACTGTATGCCAACTGTCCACTGTTATATGTAATGAGTGCTTGAAATCTGTTTATAAACTCTAATGCCAGTAATTGGTTTACGAATATCGGCAAATATTAAAATTATTGATCTCTATATTAACTTTAGTATTTGTAATGACCATTAACCTTTTTTCCAATTTCCAATTTCCCCCACTCTGTACATAGGGGCGGCGGGGTAGCCTAGTTGTTAAAGCGTTCACTCGTCACGCCGAAGACCCGGGTTTGATTCCCCACATGGGTAAAATGTGTGAAGCCCATTTCTGGTGTCCCCTGCCGAGATATTGCTGGAATAATGCTAAAAGCGGCATAAAACTAAACTCACTCACTCTGTACTCTTTCTCCCCAGCTACACATGGATGCGAAATGGAGAGCAACTTTCGGTTTCGGAAAATGGGACACTGACATTTTCCAGTTTCAGTTCGCGTGAAAATGGAAACTACACGTGTAAAGTACTCAATGACGATGGCTATGACATCTCTCCTGTTGTCACCCTGATTCAAGCAAGTAAGAGTCTAAACACAGATAATGTACCTATATGTGATCTGGGTTGTTTTGTTTTATATGACATGTTAAACAACCTGGGAGGTGAGATAACCTTGTGGCTAAAGCGATGTGTGAAGCCAACTTCTGGTGTCCCCCGCCATGATATTGGTCAAACCGAAACATGAGTCTCATTAACCTTTTCAGACAATGACCTAATTTTCAGCCGATCCGAATTTTCTCCTGTGAAAGTGAAAATAGACATCACAAACAACTATGGTTACACTGAATTCAAATTTCTTGTTTCATAAGAAAATGGTATTTACAAATGAAGTTCAATTTTAAACTTTAATAACATTGTATTTCTATATTTTATGGCGAGGTGTTGGCAGCATACCTTAACTAAGACGTCACAGACTGCCCCAGTTTGATGAGGTCGTAAAATGATTCACAATTCATCCGGCTCACTGGTTACAGCTGTTATGTGTTATTTGCGCTTATTCAGTGTAGTTCTGTAACGGATAGTGTGATTGATGTCATATCAAGTCCGTACCAGACCGCCAAACGTTTCTAGCGGCAGAACCTCATTTTGATATTTCTACGATTCTACTGTTTGTCAGTGCTCGCTATTCGACAGAGCACGCTGCACGCTTATGTTTGCAATGTTCAAAGTGCTTATCAAATAATACTGATTAATAGTTATGCATCCAGTTAAATGAATTGGTCTAAACATTCTGGACTGGTTATTGTACTAAAGTTGCGCAATAGGACGGAACCCAGTCAACAGGAAACGAGACTGATGTGTACTCAATGTTTTGACTTGGACTATTGCTAAATACGGCGTAAAACTCACTCACTCACTCACGCCAGCAATATTCAATGTCAATAGGTTCATTTAATGGATCTATTCCTTGTCAAGCGTGAGGTGTGTTTCGAGTTAAGCATTTATATACTTTTGAATTGTGGAGCGACCGTCTCTTTGATGGAGTGGATAGTGTCTGTCTGGGAAAAAAGTATATTTTTCCATTTACGCCAAAATGAATTTCTTACTTAGGATAGTCAAGACTGGGTATTCTTTTGCTTTGACATTGTATACTATATTCCATCCACCGACCTCGTCATACGATTAATGTTAAGAAATGGTACTTGATCTTACCCTGCCTAAACAAGGGACAATAAAACGTACGTGAGGTATCTGTGAAATCCCGACATGGTGTCTTCATGGGCTGTCACTGACATAGACCAGAGTTAGTGCAGGCAGACACACACGCACGCACACACACACGCACGCATGCACGCATGCACGTTGCGATGTAACTGAAATATTCTTCAACGCGACGATAAATCGCATTAGTATTCCTCCTCATAAAGGATGTTTGAGTTTTGAAAAGACATACAAACTTTTAATTGCACAAGCGTCAACCAAAATGGTTGACGTTTAACGTCATGAGTCACGAGTGCTATAGCTAATCATTATCACAAGTCATTTAATCATTCATGTACTTACAAATTCATCCCAGCAAACGCTAATGGCACATGGTTTATATTTTACAGCACTACAAACTAAGTGGGATGTTACCGAAACACAGTTGACCAAATCCCCCGGAGAGCACATGTCACTGGAATGTAAGGACCCTCCCTATAGCGCCCCCACCGGAACGTTCGTCTGGCAAAAGACCATGATGTACGCTTGGACGACAGAGTAATGATGGACAGCAAAGGTATGAAAACAAACTAAATCATGCATAAGACAAAATATTATGATTTTCAATTATTTCTTTATTTATATAGAAGAAGTTGACATCCATAATGTGTTGTGTTATACTTGAATACCAACTTCTGTATGCCTCTCAAGAAACTAACCCGTGAAGATCCGGGTTAGAATTGATCTTCAGTAACCCATGCTTGTCGTAAAAGGCGACTAACGGGATCGGGTGGTCAGGTTCGCTGACTTGGTTGACACATGTCATCGTATGATCCGAAGTGCGTAGATCGATGCTCATGCTGTTGATCACTAGATTGTCTGGTCCAGACTCGATTATTTACAGACCGCCGCCATATAGCTGGAATATTGGTGAGTGCGGCCTAAAACTTAACTCCCTCACTCTCAAGAAACATACACGTGAAATAATGAGCTGTATGACAATCCTTTTAAAGGAAATGATATTTACAATGCATTTTTCTCCAATCAAAATGGCTCAGTAGTTTCTTTTTTACTTGCAGGAACACTTCATTTCGCTTTCGTTAAAGAAACAGATAGCGGTTTATACAAGTGCGGCATCTTTAACACACGGTTGGACGTTCGAAAGCTTGGCAGTCCAGTGAAGGTCACGGTCAAAGAGAGGAGGAGGTAGCCAACATTTCTTGTATACGAGGGGCGATCAAAAAGTATGTAGCCTCACCAAGAAAATGATACAGACGCAGTTATTTTTATGTTCTATTTTTATCTACATATCATCTGTCAGCCTCAAGCAATTTAGTTTTGCTAAGTTCAAGTCTCGCGAACATAGCATTTTGTTATCTTGGTACACTACAAACACACAAAATCTGAAATAAATGCGTCACAAACTTCCGGAAAAAAAATATTCAAGAAATTTTGTGTGTGTTTGAGATTGACAGAAGTCGGCAAGAATCAAGCTTAGATAGTAATGTGCGTAAAAAAGCAATTTGAACCTACAATCGCTTGTTAAAGTGACTCCCCTTCATGTTAACTGAAAGAGCTTGTTTTGAAGACACAACCCAGCCCCTTTCAGATGACGTAATCATTAGGACATAACTTATTCTACTGTTTTCACTTTTTCATACACTTTTCAAAGGGTTCAAAACAATCAAAATCTCTGGCTGTTGATTATGACGGGAAGTCATCCAATACTATACTGAACATATTTTATATGATATTATCTGAGGCTGACTGACTGACAGAGTTTAGTTTTACGCCGCTTTTAGCAATATTCCAGCAACATCACGGCGGGGGACACCAGAAATGGGCTTAACACATTGTACCCTTGTGGGAATCGAACCCGGGTCTTCGGCGTGACGAGTGAACGCTTTAACCACTAGGCTACCCCACCGCCCCTATTATCTGAGGGCGCACCATTATCCAAGAGGTACCAAATGACAGATCGTTTTTGATTTTCTGCAATTTTGTCAAAAATATTATACCCCAATGTGTTGTGATGACTAATATCTCGTTAACCACATTACCCACATATGTGAAATTTTGGATACGGATTTGCTAATGATTCCTTCAAAATAAAATGGCAGCTTTTGGAACATTGGGCATCGAGAATATAGTTAGGCTACGTACTTTTTGATCGCCCCTCGTATGTTTGAAAAAAGCATAATTTTTCACCAAAGTCTACAAGACTCGTTGTAGTATGGTAACAAGGAACGATGATGGATTCTTTATTTATTTTATCTTCCATGTGGAATGTCTCTGGTCTAAACAACGTCATTTCTTCAGTTGAGTTGTCTTGCAGTGTGAGGAATTTATTATTGGAATGTTTCAGCACCGGCTCAAATTAGACCCCAAGTTATCTGGAATAGTAAAGAAACAACAGCCGTGCTAGGTACAGAGTTGAAACTGGACTGCATATTCAGCGGAAAGTAAGAAATCTGATATTTACACCTACTCATCTCCTTAGCATTGCGTGCCGAAACCTATATCACAAATGTTAGCTGCATAGATTGCATACGTTTCAATGTCCACTCGGCCGTACACAAACAATTGCAACATCGGTTGTCAAGGAATGGTGATTGGAAATGTGGAATAAACACAATCAATGTGATACTGTTTCCACCCACAATGTTTTTTTTTAATTGGCTTGAAGTATAGCACAAACACGAAACTTTTGCATTGGGAAGTGTCGTGGAAGTTTACGTTCGCAAGAACCACTCGAATGGAATTCTGGTGTTAGTATAAATTTATCGAAATGCCAGTCCCCGAGATAAAGGGAATGTGTAAGTATTGGTCTTATAGAACTCGAAACAGATCCACAATTGGAGTCATTTATGTGATGGGGTGATTAAAGATGGCGTTTTTTCAGACCTGTTCCCGTCGTCAAGTGGACTCTGGACGGTAAAGACATCAAGACGTCAGCAGACAAAGATGACAACCAAAATGTCGGTATACTAAGGATAGACAATGTCCAGGAAGACGACCAGGGGACTTACAAGTGTGAAGGAAGTAATCCTGTTGGCACCAAACAGATTGAGATCAAGTTGACCATTGTTTGTAAGTTAAATTCCTCAAGACTCACATACATATTGTTATTTGGATGGGATTTCAATATGATGGCTATCAAATAATAAAGTTTCATTAATATTTATAATAATGTTTTTTATAATGATTTATTCGTTGTGATATCTTTGTATTCATACTTTTTTGTTGTTGAATACTATCAACATATATTTGATATCAACACAATTGCTCGTCAACATGGCGACCAGTTGTTTCTAAAACTACGCCATGGTATATCTGAAACTCCGTTCTTTATAAAATATTCTGAATCTTCAACAGAAGTTTGATTGTGGGTTTGCTGTTTAACGCCGCACTCAGCAATATGCCAGTTATATGGCGGCGGTCTGTAGATAATCGAGTCTGGGTCAGACAATTCAGTGATCAACATGAGCATCGTTGGGATTCGATGACATGTGTCAACCAAGTCATCGAGCCTGACCACTTGATCCCGTTAGTCGCCTCTTAGGACGATCATGGGTTGTTGAAGACCGATTCTAACCCGGATCTTCACAAGTAGATCAACAGAAGGTGGAATTGTTTTCCAAACATGTTGACACTTCATCTGCTCAATGACGGTCCTTACTTCCAGCTGGCCCCCTCTGGGTGAATGCACCAAACTCCCAGGTAGTGATGGAAGGAGGGGATGTGACGTTCATGTGCAAGGCAAGAGCTGTTGGTGCCACGTCGGATTTGGTCACATCTTGGGCCGACTTTGGTGAGTAGCAGCACAAGTTGAATTGGCTTCTCAATTGTTTTACCATTATTGTTTTATCATTATTGTTTTATCATTATTGTTTTACCATTATTGTTTTATCATTATTGTTTTACCATTATTGTTTTATCATTATTGTTTTACCATTATTGTTTTATCATTATTGTTTTACCATTATTGTTTTATCATTATTGTTTTACTGTAATATAATATTTCCATTTTTCACCTACTCGTGACGATTTCTCTCATGTTTGCCGATTGGTTAAACTGTTCGTCTTTAACCTATATATTCTGTACCATATTTACATTTATTCTACTAAGAGGTCTAAGAGTCCTAAACAAAACTGCTTTTAGGCTACGATACAGATGTTTTCTATTGCTCTATTGCGCCCACTTTGCCATCCAACAACTTAAAAATCCAGCCTCATGTTAGTTGACTGGCAATGGTGGTTGGTCAGTCAGCACAATATCTGTCTTTGTGGGTTTCCGAGAAGAGCTGAGTATCCACGTACCCAGGATCTCCTTGATTTTCCTTATTAGCATACATTGATCATGCTTTAAACGATTGTGCAGTGAGAAAACTAGCAAACCAAGCGAGAGTGAGAATTTGAGTGCATCCTTGGTCTAAATATATACTTGCTTTGTTCAACAGACTCGGAGGCGACCCTAAGTTCTGACAAATCTCAAGTAACGTTTCATAACGTGTCAATGGGAGACAACGACTGCGTACATTGCTCCATCAGCAACAACATCGACTACATCTCCAAAACAGCCTGTTTCAGAGTTGTCAGTAAGTGAACATAAACTTTGCCATATACTGTTGCGTTCTTAAAACAAACAAGCTATACAAATTCCAGATGCACAACTATTCACCAGTCTCACACGTAATAGTAATATTTAAACTTAAGGCATATTTTAACAATTTTAACAAGTTTTTGTTAGAATGTACAGATATCATGAAATTTACTTATTTAAATATTGGTAGAATACTGTGCACATTGGAGTGGTGCTCAAGTTCATTTAAGTAAACTTACGAATTGTTTTGCTACTTTAACTGTTTCAGATGACAGCAGCGAACTGCCACCAACCACTACCACGACATGGGCGGCAACGACTCAAATACCACCAGGAAAAGGTGTGCCAACATCTTACTAGTAGTACTTAATATGTGCCTAGTATCAAGTATTTTAATGGCTAAAATGGGCTTTCTTCCCCTGGCATATTTCCATCAGATATTCATTGACAACAAGTTACTCCAAAAAGACTTCAAGTTGAATTGAAGTTATCATTATCATTGACGGAAATGCCCTCACGTACATTGCAATAACAGTCACTTCATTTTGTTTTCGAAAATTTATGAAAATCATTCATTTAATCAAACATGTTTATTTCCAAACAGCTCATGCTCCAGGTTCGAGCTCAGTCGGGTCACTGGTTGCCATTATAGTGGTGATGCTGATCATCGCTGTAGCTGCGTCTGTTGGCTTCCTCCTGTGGTGAGTTTGAACGTTTAGATTGGCCCAATTTATTGAATAATTTCAGATTGATCTTTCACTTCATCATACCTGACTGCGAATTAGGCAGTGACCGGTCTCTAATTACTCTCCCTATTATTCAGCAGCATGCCGTGTGAAACAAGACTTTATATCTGCTGAAATAGATTATAAACTGTTTGAATGTCACGAGTGTTCTCCACAAATGGGGGTGGGGGGTGGGGTAGCCTAATGGTTAAATTGTTGGATCGTCACGCCGAAGACCCGGTTTCGATTCCCCACATGGGCACCATATGTGAAGCCTATTTCTGGTGTAACCCCCGTGATATTGCTGGAATATTGCTAAAAGCGGCGTAAAACCATACTCACTCACTCTCAACAAATGGATTGAGAGCTGACCGACAACTGTAATGAGACCTCCTTGCGCCAAAGATGGTCTGTATTGTACCGTTTAATTGGTGCTTCCCTGGCGTACATTTACCACTATTCTTTTCTTTACTTTGACACGCCGAAGACCCGGGTTCGAATCCCCACATGGATACAATGTGTGAAGCCCATTTCTGGTGTCCCCCGCCGTGATGTTGCTGGAATATTGCTAAAAGCGGCGTAAAACCAAACTCAGTCAGTCAGTCAGTCCATTACTTTGAAATTAGTTGACCACATACTGGCCTGCTAGTCATTTGAAGGTAAAATGTTGTGAAATAGTACAGTTTTGTATGTTCGTCATTGCTCAGTAACTTATGATACTGGTCAGGTAATGCTGGGACAGTCTGCTATGTTCCCTGTAAATGTCAGATTGTGTGTGGTGATGACATCGATATGTTCAACTGTATGCCGAACCATGAGCATTTTTGAGTGAGTGAGTGGGTGGTTGGGTGGACGAGTGCGTGAGTGAGTTGGTGAGTCTGGTTTCACTTTACTCTGAAAATTACATCAGTTATCTACATCGTGTTTATACGGGAGAAGCTGTAATGGTTACACTATTACCAATGGATTCGTGTTCAGCCCATAATCGAAACTGGTTTATCTGACATTGTACATTAACGTTTTACGACCTTTGTGAAACTCATGCACATGGGAATGTTGCTGACATACATACTGGGATTCGAACCACGCCCTAGGGACACAATTCGGCACAACCCATTGCGGAGCCTTACGAGTTGTACAGACTGTTTTGTTTGTGTACAAGAATCATACAATCACATCAATTAAAAACGTTAAACCATTCCACATCCAAAAGACATCTCTTCTCAAATACACTCTTCAAAAAGAAAAAGAAAAAAAAAGAAGCCGTTTTTAGACGAATTTATTGCGTTAGTTTAAAAGCAATTATTTCATGTAATTTCAATGGTAAAAAGGTGAAAATTCACACGTCTATAGACAAAGAGTTCACCAACCCAACAACAGCCTTTATTGTTGTGTTTCTGTTTACCACCGCCAGCGATTGCGCCGGTGGAAGTCTCTCAAAACAGGAGCGACCACTGGCCTTCTTGGTCAAATCCCCACTTCACGCCATCGATTCCTGACAGTTTGGTCGGAACTTCGTCATAAACCTGGGGTGCGTTGTGCAGTCTCCGTGGCTATGGCAAGATGATGACGGAAGTGAGCAGCCCGGATGTAGCAGTCCTGGGCTTGGGTGGTAACACTTGCGCGGCCGCTTCTCGGACGATCTTGGGTGGAATTGGTCTGCAGGAAAGCGAGATATGATGCTCTGATAAACGTTGAAATGTCGGGCAACTGCAGACAGCGACTCCCCATCTTCAAGGCGGCCTATGGCGATGTTTCGATTGGCGGCACTCAGTCGTGGCATGATGATTTCATCTTTTCCAGGCAAAAAAGAATGACAAAATTAAACACAACGTTTGTCTTTTTATAGTGATCGATACCGTATGACTTGCACGTGCATTTTGCTTGACGTTTTCAAATGCTTCTAAAACAAGGGGGAAAAAAAATTGCCGCGTTCTGGCGATGAAGATGATCACACAAAGATGACGACTTGCAAATAAAGAGTAAATTTGTATTGTTCTTTTTCGCAGCTACATGAGTCAAATATTCTCTTAATCACCTATGCGTTTCTTTTTTTGAAGAGTGTAGTTATGATACCAGGTGTGCGCGAAGAGTTGATTCCCCGTTAATGTCATGACCAAATGCAAAGGCTTGTCAGTTGTTCACCTGGGAACAGTCGAAAACGCGTGTAACAAGTCAAAATATTTAATTTATCGGACATCATTGCTGTCACTGATACGTCAAATGATAAAACTCCCTCCACATGTCTGCTATAGGATCGCAATGTCTTGGAACGATACGATTCGATTCGATGCATATCACGATATGCTATCTTTAGTTATTTCCTTTAAAAATAAAGCATATTTTGATAGCAAGTAACAGTGTAAATTTTGACATACTTGTCAGTTTCTAGTGAAAAGTAGTAATTTTAACGTCAGCGATACATATCACGATACGAAAAAAGTATCGATATATTTATCGTCAGATAAAGTATCACGATAATCGATACTACGATATATCGTCACAGCTGTAATATCTTCATATTGTGGGACAGTGGAATGGACTAGTGGTTAAAGCTTTCGCTCGTAACACAGAAGACCCGGGTTCGATTCCACACAAGAGTGCAATGTGTGATGCACATTTCTAGTGTCCCCCGCCGTGATATTGCTGAAATATTGCTAAAAGCAGCGTAAAACTACACTCACTCACTCTTCACGTTGCAGGCGTCGACGACAACTGAACAGGGTAACATTCAGAGTGAAGAAGGATGACAAGGCCACGTTTGAGGAGAAGGCAAAGCGTCGACAGACTGTTTGAACCAGCTGTTCATATATCTTCGAAAGTCAATGTCTGTTATTTCAAGTTCAGGGTTAAATCTCTGACAGGAGTACACATCTTGTCTTATAGCGGACACAGCCTTAAACAGCGTTCTTATGGTATCTTTAACAATAAGAACCATTTTGATTTTCTTTAAGAGAAACAAACCTTTCTCACCTTCTGCATGTACTTTGATCAAAGATTGATTTACAGTTTTTTGTAAATAGATCAGATGATAGACGTTGTTTTTTCGTCATTTGTATCCCTAAATCACTAAACAGTACACAAGGTCATACAAGCTTAGTTTGGTGATGTGATCAATGTTTTATCACAACAAAGTCTTTGATGCACAATGTTTTTCACGAGAAAGTCAATATAGTGAGATACTCAAAACAGACGTGTTTTCGAATAGTTTCATATGCAGTATGTTTTAGCATATTTTGTTATTTGTTTTGCTCGTTGTGTGTCCTTTGATAATTTTAATCGTTTTCACTGTTAACTATAGTTCCTTGCAAAATTAATAATTGGAGCAGACCAGATCATCTTGCATATCTTTTATTATATGGCGACATTTTATCTGTATTTCTTCCAGTTCTTGTTTTAATTGAGTACATGTATATTTAGCCCCAGTTTATCAATGATACCCCACTCAGACACATTATGCTAACTCGGTCTTTATTACTGCCGAGCCTGCAGCCTATGTAATACCAAGTACCATCATTTAACGTTGTTTGGTACGACGTGAGCTGCCGACCTTCCATTATGAGATAGACGCTCTATCTAAACCATAGACCCGGTCCGGTAATATGTAAATATTTGTATATGGATGTGACATTTTTTCTGAAAGGAATTGACTCAAATATATGTTTCTCCTTTGACGGGAAAAATCTAGTGTTACAGTTTGCTGCTGACGAATCGATATAATTATAAAATACGTTAAGGAATTACACATAATAGTTACTGAACATCACTATGTTTATTTTACAAACAACAACGTACTTGAGAAACGATCGAGCTTAGAAATCATCAGAAATCATAATATTATATGACGAAGGGAACCTCTACCACTGCAGCGTTTTGTTCAGTTTTGCAAGTACACATGCAATTATGACAAGGATATAACGCGATGTAAGTTTCACATTCAGATTGAATGCCCTGTTTGACTACGAGAGTTTTCATTTCCATGTTATGTCCGGGTATGGAATGTCACTGTGATCTCTAGGTATCTACTGAAAAGAGACAGGAATCTTTAACACAACAGAATTGTTCTGAATCATCAATACTTCATTATTGCTGAACGTTATTTCTTTCATTTCGTGCTTCTTATATATACTTGTATTCTGTCTTATATTTTGTATTTTTTTACATATTTAAATGTTATATTCATAAGCAAGTGATTTCTGCAGGTGTATAAGCAGTAAATATATACTCAACAAAACCAGTTAAGGACCACCCCAGTATTCAATGTTTAAGTATCATATGGACCATAATATGAATATTTGGGTGATCCTTAACTTTTTTGTTGAGAATATTAACATGAGTCCAGATATTACTCATTGTACAAGCCGTTGAACGGCGAAAGATCTTGTGTAGAGTTTCGACAAGAAGGAATACCTGAATATGGAATGGTTCTGTCTTATTCCCACAGTAATGTAAAGGTAGTAAAGAACAATCCAGCTTCATGATGACTGTCTGTAGATACTGTTTCTGCAGACAATCCGGTGCTCGACTATGTTGGCATCGATTCATGCACTGGGGCAGGCATTCCACTAAGTTGGCGAGCCAGACCTCCCGTTCCCCTTGGTCGCTTCCTTCGACAGGCATAGTTTACAAGGAGCGTATGCTAAGACGGAATCCCAAGCCGGGAGTACACAAATCCAGTAACATAATATTATGTAAACACCAATACATTCATAGTGAGTGAGTTTAGTTTTACGCCACACTCAGCAATATTCCAGCTATATGGCGGCACATTCATAGTGAGTGAGTGAGTTAATATTTAACGTCACAACATTCATAGTGCCTTTACTGTGGAAATATATATGAAACAACCCTTCCCTGTTCTCTACTGAAAGCGGGACGGTGGGGTAGCCTAGTGGTCAAAGCGTTGGCTCGTCACGCCGACCACCCGGGTTCGAACCCCCACATGGGTACAATGTGTGAAGCCCATTTCTGGTGTCCCCCGCCGTGATGTTGCTGGAATATTGCTAAAAGCGGCGTAAAACCAAACTCAGTCAGTCTACTGAAAGCGTAGACTGTGCCATATACATTTCACTATACATGTTTAATGAGCATAGCATGAACCCACTATCGTAGACTGATGACATCAGGTGTTTGCGAAAAAGTGAGCGTATCCTGCATCCTGTCTACTGGGGGCACCCATGACAAACACATGCAAATGCATGTCAATTGTTTACTATGAAATATGTATATACATTTTGTACACGTACGTTAATTTTAATAAAGGCACTTAAGTATTTTGTACATTTTGAATCCTTGGTTATATTTTAGTTTCAATATGGACACTGAGAGAGATGTTCTGTCATGTGACGTGCTGTGTCATACAGGGAAGCGTCACGACCACATGTTGACAAGTCATATTCAAGCCTAACGTGGCTTGTTTCCGTGTGTATGCCGACCTGTTTCCTTGGTCGTGGCAAAACGAAACTTAAAACAATAGGCGCAGGAAATTATATTCTGTAACAAAAGTACGAGACTGCAGTGGCGGATCCAGAGGGGTGGTTCAGGGGGTTCGACACCCCCCCCCCCCCCTTTGAAAATGACTTAAGATCACATTGAAGATTTTCTTTTTTGCTGGAAGCCTCGCAGACTGGATATGTACAATCTCCCCGCAAATGTTCTGAAACCCTGCAAGGCCCGCAAGGTCATTGCCATACTAAGCAAACATCAGTTAAAGATTTCTTCAAATCACTGTAGATCAATGTGGATCAAAATTGCATTCGAATGAAGTGTGTATTCATTAGAGCAGAATATAGTTTGGATGTATGTGCGAGTGTACATGTGCTATATAACTGAGAAATTAAGAATGATCAACAAAGTAATGACTTGTTTTCTTTGAAGCCAAAGGGCCTCTGACTGTCCCACCTGGTTATAATGCCACCCTGGATACAATGCCAAATTTTCTCCCGGACAAACGGTGGCATTATAAACAAGGTATACCGTGTCTTTCAGTGGCATTTAGAAGTTGTACATTGGTGTCCGAGATATTGTTATGGATTAAACCACTTTTTAATTTCTCTCACGACGTTTCGAGACCATTTCAGGTCCCTTCATCAGGTGAACTGATGAAGGGACCTGGAATAATCTCAGAACTGTCGTGAAAAATTAAAAATAAGAAGAACTGATGAAGGGACCTGGAATGGTCTCGAAACGTCGTGAGAGAAATTAAAAAGAAGTTTAATCCATAAAAATATCTTGGACATCAAGGTATACCGTAGTTTTAAGTCGAAAAGCAAGTCACGTGTCTTCATGTCCCGAAAAAGCAAATCACCTGGTTTCATGTACCTAAAAAGCAAATTGCCCTTAATGTACCGGGATGAAACACAAAGAGCTCGTTATTTCCGCGACCAGAAACGACTGACTGACTGACTGAGTTTAGTTTCACGCCGCCTTTAGCAATATTCCAGCAATATCACGGCGGGGGACACCAGAAATGGGCTTCACACATTGTGCCCATGTGGGGAATCGAACCCGGGTCTTCGGCGTGACGAGCCAACGCTTGAACCACTAGGCTACCCCACCGCCCCTCGACCAGAAACGAGCTCACCAGAATCAAAATTGTGTAAATCTTGTGAAATATAGATTAATTGCTGTAAAATTCATGCATGTAAGAAGCGGATATCGTATTACATGTGGTATTCACCTACTGCTGTGATGTTATTCTGTGAGTAATTCATTCCCCCTATAGGTCTTTGTCGCCAATCAGAATATATATTATTGATAATATGTAGAGAAACACAAACTTAATCTGGAGAGCTCAAATAGTGACGTCCGTTAAATATCATAACATATGTTGACCCTTGTTCAGATAGGTGTTAGTCCACTGTTGATCACTGAATTGTCTGGTCCAGACTCGATTACAGACCGCCGCCATATAGCTGGAATATTGCTGAGTACGGCGTAAAACTAAACTCACTCACTCACTGTCACCTGCATCTCATTGGCCCTGTCTCTCATACGCAGGGGAGGGGCGGTGGGGTAGCCTTGTGGTTAAAGCGATGGCTCGTCACGCCCAATTCCCGGTTTGACTCCCTACATGGTACAGTAAGTGAAGCCCATTTCTGGTGTCCCCCGCTGTGAGTGAGTGAGTGAGTTAATATTTAACGTCACATCGGCAATATTTCAGCCATATCGTGACGAGAACATTTGACATTTAAAGAGAATATATATGCAGATATTATAAAAACCTGCCGACGAAGGACAGTAAAACAACTAGAATATCACAGATATACATGTAAAACTAGTAATTAAATCTAAAACATTTTAACTTTAGGGGGCAGCACACTATAAAAATAGGCAATAGATCGCCAACAACTGAAGGTAGATCACCATACTAGGGACCATGGGGACTTACAGTACATTTGCTTCCTGCATGGACCCTAGCTGGATTTACACCATCCCTTCAGCCATTGGCAACAGAAGAGAAACCCAGCCATAAATTAAAAGTACACATATTCTACGATTAAAAACCTGGTACACTTAAATTGACTAAATGGTTTGGGACTTACGTACCCTCTCAGGAGGACAATAATTTTACGCTACTTCAATCCCCCTTGAGGGTACAGCCACTAACAATCTCAGTTACTAATTTAAACTACCAATAATAAAATATATATCTATTTACAAATCAGTTAGCAAGTCTAATTTTTTTTAAAATGCAATAATTAAATGAGAACTGACATTATTAAAAAGATCCTTCAGAGTTTTTGATTTGAAATAGATATCCCTTGTGATGGAATATTCAATGCAGTCAATCAAGACATGCTTGACTGTGATTCTTTCATCACAAGGGATGCAAAACGGAGGATCTTCGCCTTTAAGCAAATATTCATGGGTATATCTAGTATGGCCAATGCGACATCGCCGCATAATGACCTCTTCAAATCTGGACTGACAACCCAAGTAGGTGTAACCAATGTAGGGTTTTATTGCATGTAATTTATTAATACCTACTTGGGTGTCCCACTTCTTTTGCATTAGATCGCGGATGTATGTTCTAATGCTGGCTTTATAATCAGAGTATGGGATAAGAAGTGGTGTCACAGATTTGTTGAGGGCTGCCTTAACAACAATATCAGCCATCGTGTTCCCAGAAATGCCAACGTGGCTGGGTAACCAACAAAAAGACGATGTCGCATTGGCCAGTAGCAAGATCATTATATAATTCGATTATTTCAATTAAAAGTGGATGTTTGCAAGAGATTTTTAATAGCCTGAAGGCAAGAAGAGAGTCAGAAAATATTATATATTGTTTATGTTTGGGATGTCTTTGAATATATTTAAGAGCTGTTAAGATGGCGTTTGCTTCTGCTGTAAATATAGAGCTGTTATCCGGTATTCTAGAAGATATTGTTCGGGATCAATAACAGTGGCACATGCCACTGCGCCACCATCCTTGGACCCATTTGTAAACAAGGATTTGTATGTATTATATTTATTTCTTAATTGACTAAATTCTTGTTTTATACTGTAATTCATTTGTTTCTGATTTTTTTAAATGTAGTTAATGTTAGGTCAACTTGTGGCCTAACCAATTGCCAAGGCGGAGAAGAAAAGACGGGAAGGAGCTATATGTTCTAGCTCAATGCCAGCAGCAGAAAGGAAAGGTTGCACTCTTATACCAAGAGGCGGAACAAGAGAAGGCTTCTTGTTATACAGATCTTCATATAGTGGACTAAAGACACAGTTATATGCAGGGTTTGACTCATTGGAATAAAGTTTTGTAATATACTGTAAAGTTAATTTTATACGGCGTTGTGTAAGAGATGGCTCATCAGCCTCGACGTAGAGACTGTCAACAGGAGAAGTTCGAAAGGACCCAAGACAAAGTCTCAGACCTTGGTGGTGGACAGAATCAAGTAGGTTTAGGTTGCTTTTGCAGGCTCCACCATACACGATGGAGCCATAATCAAGTTTCGAGCGGACCAATGAGCGATATAGGTGGAGGAGTGTAGTTTGATCCCCTCCCCCACTTTGAGTTTGAAACAACTTTCAACAAGTCAAGTGCCTTCAGGCATTTAGTTTTAAGGGATTTAATATGCGGAAGAAAGGTTAAATGGGAGTCAAAAATTAAACCCAAGAACTTGGCTTCCTTCACAACTTTGATGGGTGTGCCATTTAAAGATAGTTCAGGGTCTTTATGCGGTTTGTATTTACGGCAGAAATGAATACAATTAGTTTTGGATTTAGAAAATTTAAAGCCGTTTTCAAGACACCATTTATTTATCTTGTTTAAACACAACTGCAGTTGCCGTTCAATAGTATGCATATTTTTACCGCGACAAGAAATGTTAAAATCATCCACAAAAAGTGATCCATCGATTGAATCATTTAAAACCTTGGATAAACTGTTGATCTTGATACTAAATAAGGTAACAGACAAAATACTGCCTTGTGGAACACCCTGATCCTGATTGTAATGATCAGACAGGGTAGAACCCACGCGGACTTGAAATTGTCTGTCGTTTAAAAAGTTAGCTATAAATTGAGGCAAACGGCCTCGCAATCCGAAGCCATGTAAATCTCTTAATATGCCATATTTCCACGTAGTGTCATATGCTTTTTCAAGATCAAAAAAGATAGACACAGCGTGTTGTTTTATTAATTAGTGCATTTTTAACAAATGATTCCAAACGCACTAGGTGGTCGACAGTACTTCTGTTTTACGGAAACCACATTGTATATCTGTTATAAGGTTATTAGTTTCCAAAGTACCAAACAAGTCGATTATTTATCATGCGTTCCATGGTTTTGCAAACACAGCTTGTTAGTGAAATCGGTCGATAATTAGACGGATCCGTATGATCACGTCAGGCTTAGGTATTGGTACTACTATAGCGTCACGCCATGAGGAAGGAAATTTCCCTGACGTCCAAATATCATCAAAAATGTGTAAGAGCGTCTCTAAAGATGACTCTGGTAAGTGTTTCAGGAGCTGATAATGTATGTTATCTGCACCTGTAGCAGTATCGTGAGCTTGCTCAAGAGCAGTATGGAGTTCATGAATAGAAAATGTTTCATTATAATCTTCCCCATTATCCGAATTGAAATTAATAGTTTTCTTTTCTTCTTGTTTTTGATATTGTTGGAATTTAGGCACATAATTAGAAGAGGAAGAGTGTTTGGCGAGAGTTTCACCCAGTTTATTCGCAATATCTGATTTATTTGTAAGTAATTGATCTCCATGTTTAAGATGATGGACACTAGATTTAGTACCTTTACCTTTAATTTTCTGGACCATGTTCCAAACCTTGGACATGGGCGTTCGAAATTTATCTTGGATACATAATTTTGCCAAGATTGGCGTTTATTCTGTTTAAAGGTACGCCGCGCTTTAGCATTTAACATTTTAAATTTATTTAAATTATGCACCATAGGATGGCGACGGAAATAATGTTCTGCTTTTTTCCTTGCCTTCCTAGCTTGTTTGCACTCATCGTTGAACCATGGTTTTCGGATATGTGGATTTGCAGAGGACTGTGGTATACACTCATCAGCTATGGTACTCAGTTGATCGGAAAAACAGTTAATAGCATCCATAACGTCACTAAAAGTTCAGGTTTCAGTTTTGTAGCACACAGTGTTTCATATAAGGCCCAGTTAGCCTTTTAAAATTCCGCCTTGATGATGGAGGTACATCAGATGGAGTTACAGGTTTTAGTATGGTAGGAAATGGTCACTTCCACATAGGTCATCGTGAACTGACCATTCAAATTCATTTAGTAGTTCTGAATTAGTGACTGACAAGTCGAGAGCAGAATAAGTTCCTGTACCAGGGTGTAAATATGTGTTGGAACCATCATTATAAAGACATAAATCATTATCTGAACAAAACTCCTCCAGTAATTTACCTTTAGCGTTTGTATTTGCACTACCCCAGAGTGGGTTGTGCCCATTTAAATCTCCATAATAATACAGGGCTTCGGGAGTTGGTCATATAGAGCTTGAAGATCAGTTTTGTGAAACGTTGAAGACGGAGATATGTAGAGAGAGCATAATGTAAACGCAACGTGCAAAGTTAGTCGCACTGCAACAGCCTGAAGATTAGTAGTAAGAGCAACAGGGCTATGGATAATGTTCTGTCTGACTAGGATTGAAGATCCTCCAGTGGCCCTATCACCCGGAGGTGAAAAATAATGATATGCATTGAAAGAACGCAGGGCAAAAGCATCTGTTTGTTTTAAATAGGTCTCCTGCAGACAGAACGCTGATGGAGTTAAATCCTGGACTAAAAGTTGTAATTCACTGAAATTAGTCCTCAGTCCTCTACAATTCCACTGTATAATATGATTGTGATAAACTATCTTTTGGGGGGATTTATTGGGGATCTTCCCCGTACTTTCTTGTTGGGCGACAAGCTGTGCGCCCTAGAACGGACAGTTTCGGACACATCCATGTCCTCAAGGGAACCATATTTGTTATACAAGTTGATTTGATTTTCTGACCCTTTTGGGGCTCTGCCACTGAATTTTTTGAAAGAATCTGGCTTCTTACCTTTGCCTTTAAGGGGCTGTGTAGACTTTGATGTCGACTGAGATGATGCGTCAAGATCAGAGGATGTTTCACATTGGCTTTGAGACGTACTAGGAACTGATTCAGTTGTTTGGGTCGATATTGCAGGTGAGAATATCACAGGAGATTCAGATTTAACCCAGGTCAGGTTTGTCTGACAGCATGCAGTTGACTTTGTTATTCTAGTGTTTGCTTCTGACGGTGTTCTGGTGATAGAAGCATAACTCTCCTTATGCTCTGAACTTTGAACTAGCTTTTTTGCATCGGCAAAACTAATGTTTTGGGTAAATTTGATTCTATTTATCTCCATTTGATGTTTCCAAACAGGACAGTTTTTAGAGTAAGATGGATGATCCCCTTCACAGTTGGTACATTTTTTGACATTACTGTCACAATCTTCTGTTGTATGTGTCTTTTCACCACAGTGAGCACATACAACAGACAATGTCTGAAATATTTACGCCATGACCGAACTTTTGACATTTGAAGCACCGTAGAGGGTTCGGAATGTACGTGTCAACATTGATGTTACAATATCCTGCCTTTAGAGATTTTGGAGCATTTGGTGAAGAAAATGAAAACAGGTAGGTATTTGTTTTGATAACAGTATCATTTTTCCTGGTCGTGAAACGTTTGACATAGAGTACGCCTTGTTCTTTCATCTCAGAGACGATGTCAAGTTCAGACATATCTGCAAACAATCGATCACGGTCTCTGATGATTCCCTTGCTCGTGTTTAAAGTTTTATGAGCCGTGACGGTGACCGGGACGTTGACAAACGATTCTGTACTCATGAGGTTGGTGGCTTGGTGCCTTTTCCCACACTCAACCAACAGAGCACCGGAACGTAAACGTTTAATATTCTTGACATCACCAGCAATGCCCTGTATACCCTTAGATATCGCAAAGGGGTTCAACTTCAATGGAGTCTTATCAACAGTTTCAATGACAAGAAATCGTGGCCAGTATTCAATGGACGTGGACAGTCTTTGATCAGTATCAACTGGATCAGTGTCTAGTGGACGTTTTTTTTTTTTTATGGGGGTTTCGTAAGCCATGGTTAATTTTTCAAGGTTCGTCATCCGAGCTCCCCACCCACCACGGAGTATCACAAGGACAATGCTAAAAAACAAGTGGATTTCCAACTTGCAGCACCAAGGATACCCGGATGATATACTCCAGCAGAAGAATTAAAAGATTAATAATTCCACCAGATTGGCCCATGAGCCACCGCCTTCTGGGCATAAGACTCTAGGCAAAGTTCATAACATAATAATTCAAAATCACAAACGTTTTAGATAAACAAGTAAGCCCGAAATTAAAACAATTCCAAATGTAATTTGTGCAATGACATATATATATATAGTCTATACACAGGGCTTGGCGTGACCAGCCGATTGATAGAACCGGGCCAGTTCTACCACCCGTCTAGGTGAAGTAAGGGGCGAAGTGGTGTGTTGGGCAAAGGAACGCTTATCCTGGAACCAATGCCCTCAACCACCAGCCTCCCGTCCTCCACCGACACAGGGGCGCAACCCACGGCAAACGGGTTGGTGGACCAAATATCCACAACGGGGGGTTGAAGGGCGCTTAGCGTTACCCAGCACCCACCACGAGGAGGTGGCCCTTCACGGGTGCCCCCCCGCTGTGATATTGCTGGAATATTGCTAAAAGCGGCCTAAAAACCATAGTCACTCACTCACCCATACGCAAGCGCTATTCTTTTACAGCACACTTCCGGGGTCACATTCCTGTTTTGACATAATTATAAGTATTTTATGGGTGAAAGAATATAAAAGGAACTCTAGAAATGCGCTTCACACATTGTATCCTTTTGGAGAATCGAAACCAGACACTTGAAGCGACGAATGAACGCTTCTGAACTGGGCTACCCCGACCCACATTGAAAATCATATAGTCAGTATAGTTACATTGAGGCAACACAGAGTGTCAATCACTACAGCTTGACGGACACTGATACACGGACACATATCGTTATTCAACGGTACGAAACCGATGCGAGTTACGGTAAGTGAAGCTGTTTTCATTTTTATAAATAATGGAGAGGTGATGTGAAATGAGGTTTAACGTCGTACTTAAGAATATTTCGCTCATATGACAATGTGCATGCGTGTATGTGTATGTATGGCTGCTTATACTAGCCCAGACTTAAGCTGGTTTTATAGTGCTAGCTCACTGAGATACCAGGCCGCAGTTAAGCATGAATACCCCGCTCAGACACATTATACTGACTCCGAGTCGACCAGTCCTGTTGTACTCATTAATGCCGGGCGCCAGGCAGGGTCCAACAAGTACCATATTTTACGTCTTTTGGTATGACCCAGTCGGGGATCGAACCTGCGACCTTCCTCTCTCCGGGCGGACGCTCTCATCACTCGGCATGGAGACGGTTTTAACAAATCCACACAGCTTTAGTATAACCAACGAAACAATGCATATAATATGATAGACAGACAGATTATTCAGTAAAGAGGTCATAGACTCTTATTACAAAGTACTTCCGCAGAGATGTCATATTAGGTTTAGTTGAAGATCGAGTTCACACAGTGTTTATGTCAACCGGAATACAGGAATACCTGTTGTGGGTAAATATTACTCGAATGTATATGTACGCTTATTACCGTATTGGACGCGGTCGGGGATCGAACGTAGTGGTTAGAACGTCAGCCCGGAGACCGGAAGGTCGCAGGTTCAATCCCCGGCCGTGTCATACCAAAATACGTTAAAATATGGTACTTGTTGTTCCCTGTTTGACGCTCGGCATTAATGGGTAAAACAAGGACTGGTCGGCTGTTAGCTGTTAGACTTTCATAGATATAGACATATGTTATATATTGCATGAACGTTTTCAGATGAAAGATTTTCGATAAAAGAATAGTGAGATACCTTCCGACCAACTCTATAGATGTCTCTCCTCTCTCTCTCTCTGTGTGTGTGCGTGCGTGCGCGTGTCCTTGTTTCGCTATACTTTAACAATAGTGCAGCAATTTCACGGTCACTATAACACGAGTAGACGTCAATATACAAATTGGTTGGTTGGTTGTTTAACGCCTCACTAAGCGATATTCCAGCTATGTGGCTGCGGTCTGTAAACAATCGAGTCTTTACCAGACAATCCAGTGATCAACATCATAAGCATCGATCAGTGCAAATGGGATACGATGACATGTGTCAACCAAGTCAGCGAGCCTGACCACCCGATCCCGTTACTCGCCTCTAACGGCACGCATGGGTTGCTGAAGACCAATTCTAACCCAGATCTTCACGGGTGCAATTACAATGAGATACAGTGGGTGTATACAGGATGTGTTTACGTGTAAAGAAACACATATTAGATTTAATAAAAGCCCTGATACTCCAGCAAAGTCACCGAAGCAATGGTGTCATTGTATGTTTATAATATCTTTGCAGGAGACATGTTGATGAAAGTGCTGGGGCTCTTACCACTCGCTATCATCACAAGAGCAGAAGGTTTGTATCTTCGGTGATGGTGAAAGTAACACTGCATTGTATCCTATATAATAAAATTCTCATATGGGAGAGATATTTCCTTATAATGCTTTGGAACAATATGCATTGTCCTTTTGGATTCAGAGAGGGCACAACATGAACTATTTGACAGTGATTCATAAATATAAATGTAACGGCGTTGCGTTTATGACGGCTTGGGCAGGATTCGTTCATCTTTTGCTAATACCTAGTGTCTCCCGTTTTAAAAGTAATTCCTAAACATGCTGATGATATGGTCGGAACTTCATCGTTCTCTGACCTGGCGTTCCTCCTGGGTGTGGAAATGATTGTGCTGGTATCACTTATCATGAAATATCATTTTTTTCACGTTTAAAAGTCTCTTGTAACATTTTAAAAATCTTTATTGCAAGGGAATGAAAAGATTTGGGATGCTCCTCTGACAAATGTCAAAACAACTACAGGTGACGGGCTTTCGCTTCCTTGTCGGAACCCTCCCTACTCAAAGGCGTTGCTAAGGTGGTTCAAGACTGGCACAAAGGCTGAAGTGATAGACTTGACTAGAAGAGTTCTGATAGACAGGGAAAGTGAGCACAACACCAACCATATCTCCGCTTTATTATATTGCCTTTAAAATATAATGATTCAAATATTAACTTCGAGTTTCATTTACTGTGCCGTCTCACGTATTCACAAACGTATTGATCCATGCACTTTAAGTATATTTTGTATACATTTATCCAGGAACGCTTCACTTTGCCTACGTTGACGTAAGTGATGCCGGTCTGTACAAATGCGGCGCTCATTACAAGGATGTAATATACCTGGGAAGTCCTGTGAACGTTACAGTTGCAGGAATACGTGGTTGGTACCCATCATGTGACTGCTTTATGAAATTTTGATGTAAAGAATCATGTAAACGAGATAGTCATACATTTAGGAAAAACTTATCTTATCGCGGTAACGTCAGTTTAACACGGGCCACGTCGACGTCTTGAATGCAGACTTGCGTCCCTTGAATAACTGGACTAATATTTGAAGCCGTGTTAAACTGAACTGACTAACTGAATGAACATATGAACGACATGAACTTAGGTCACAAATTTCTGTTTTCATTTTGTCCATCTTTTGGTGGAAACTAACTGTTTCCGTTAGGTAATAGATGCAACTGGACTGCTGGTCACTGTTTTGTGTGTTGTTTAACGCCGCACTCAGCAATATTTCAGCGACATGTTTGAATAATCGAGTCTGGACCAGACAATCCAGTGATAGACAGCATGAGCATCGGATCTAAGCATTTGGGTTTCGATTACATGTGTCAACCAAGTCAGCGATCCTGACCACCCGAGCCCGTTCGTTGCCTCTTACGACAAGTATGTGTTGCTGAAGATGAGTTGTAACCCGGATCTTCAGGGGTCACACTTTCAATGACTATCATCAATCTGTAGACTGTAATTATGGAACAATCTTGGGACAACCGGTGTTCAGGTTCTGTATGTACATGTATTCTGTGTTGTAGGCGATGTTCATCCTTCAGCACCACCTACACTGGCGTCATACAGTGGGACAACCACAGCTCGACTGGGAGAAGACGTCACGCTGGAATGTATATTCACCGGCAGGTACATGAATACATCGCCGTTATGAAATGACATGGGAGGAGATAATGTTGCCAGTTGTTAGGTCCGGGTTCGATTCTATACTAGTATATTGACGTCCATTCGTGTTATCAGTGACCGTCATATTGCTTGACTATTGCTAGAATATAACGAATCACACACAGGGGAGTGCGAGTGTGCGAGTTTAGTTTTAAGCCGCACTAAGCAATATTCAAACTATATGGCGGCGGCACACAGGAGAGAGTTGCATACACACATTCATTGAGTTGGTCGGGAAGTATATCACAAGTGTGGAAAACTTGATAAATCTCGAAAACGATGAGTATATCTTGCTCTACAAAAATATATGTATGTATGTTACGGAACCCTCGTGAACAACGGCGGCCCTTAAACAATCCCGTCTTCAATTGGCCATCCAGTAATGCACCAGAAATGTGGTACCGTGATAGCGCTTTTACCGATTTTGCTGAGACTGAAACCGATTTGTTTGTTTAATAAAACTTGCATGTAAAACAATGACAAATTTTATTAAGTAAATTTGTTCCCTAAAACGACCTCGTCAGTTTTGCTTCCTATTTCAAATAATAAAATATTTGCTGCGTTATCATGAACAACCGCGAATGTATTTACGAGTCCCATGTTATGGATTATATTGCCAAGGCAATTGCTATTGGTTTTATTACAGCCCCATACCAGGTGTCACTTGGTGGCATCGCGGTAGGATACTTACTCAGCATACAAACACAGAGAACATAACTGCATATCTGACTATCCTGAACGTCACTACTGAAGATCTCGGGGAATACAACTGTACGGGAGAGAACGAGGTCGGATCAAGCTCCGCTATCCTTCACATATCCATCAAATGTAAGCAGTGAATAGAGAAGGTTCACACTCCGCTATCCTTCACATATATATCAAATGTAAGTAGTGAATAGAGAAGGTTCTCAGTCTACTATACTTCACATATCCATCAAATATAAGCAGTGAATAAGGAAGGTTCACAGTCCACTATACTTCACATATCCATCAAATATAAGTAGTGAATAGAGAAGGTTCACACTCCGCTATCCTTCACATCTCCATCAAATATAAGCATGATCATACTAGCTTCATAATGCCAATTTAAGGAGATTATGAGTATTGTTTGCATGTCATAATAACCATTGCCTTTGAGTCGAGGTGCCCAGAGCATTCATATCGGTAAAGGACGCGTTAACGTCATGACTTAGACTTAACCTATCCACATTGCAGCATCCTCGGCAGCATTACTTGTGTCTTCCCCAATTGTTGGGGTCATCGTTATTGGTGGGCTGTTGTTCTGGTTACTAGTGAGAACAAGGTACGTTTACCTTTAGTCTTTTACAAACTGCCCTCTACACTAAGTTCGGAAATATAATTATTTACATATGGCATAAATAATGGCTTTTGCTATTATCCAATTCTGTTGTGTATGTAATCAAGACATGCTTTGCAGCTAAACATATATTCTTGCATTTCGTGATTGAAAATAGACTAAATTGTAAATGCTGGAACATTAAGGATTAAGACAAGTCTAATTTCCAGAGGTTATATCATTACGTTTCTATATTAAATTTCAGGCGCAGAAAGGTTCGAAAACAGGACGTTCATCAGTATGATGAAATTGACGTAATGGAAATTAGAGCCCCAGAGCCTGAAATATACAAAGTATATGAATAGATTAACAATGTGATCTCTTGAAAAATGTGAAATGTGAAGCATTCCTCGAAGTTGTAGTAGTAGTTGTCGTAGTAGATGTAGAAGTACAAATGTAGATGTAGAAGTGGTAACAGTGTTCGTAAAGGTAGTAGAAGTAGTTGTAAGAATTGTAGCATTAGGCGTAGCTGATGTGGTACTTGTAATAGTACTAAAAATAGTGGTAGTGGTAGTAGTAATAGTAGTAGTAATAGTAGTAGTGGTAGTAGTAATAGTAGTAGTAGTAGTAGTATAGTAGTAGTAGTAGTAGTATAGTAGTAGTAGTATAGTAGTAGTAGTAGTAGTAAGTAGTAGTAGTAGTAGTAGTATAGTAGTAGTAGTATGGTAGTAGTATAGTAGTAGTACAATTTATAGTGGTAGTGGTAGTGTAGTAGTAGTAGTGGTATGTAGTAGTAGTAGTGTAGTATGAAAGTAGTAGTGAGAAGTGGTTGTAGTAGTGTTTAGTAGTAGTGTAGTGAGTGATAGTAGTAGTAGTAGTAGTAGTATAGTAGTGGTAGGTAGTAGTAGTAGTAGTAGTAGTAGTAGTAGTAGTAGTAGTAGTAGTATAGTAGTAGTAAGTAGTAGTAGGTAGTAGTAGTAGTAGTAGTAGTAGTAGTATAGTAGTAGTAGTAGTAGTAGTAGTAGTATAGTATGAGCATGGTAGTAGTAGTAGTATAGTAGTAGTAGTAGTTAGTAGTAGTATTTGCCAGTATAGTAGTAGTAGTAGTAGCAGTAGTAGTGGTATAGTAGTGGTAGTAGTGAGTATGTAATTAGTAGTAGTAGTATTAGTATAGTAGTAGTAGGTAGTAGTTAGTATAGTAGTATGAAGTAACAGTAGTAGTAGTAGTAGTAGAGTGGTAAGTATAGTAGTAGTAGGTAGTAAGTAGTGAGTATAGTAATAGTAGTAGTAGTAGCAGTAGCAGTAGTAGTAGTAGTAGTAGTGGTTAAGACAGTAGTAGTAGTAATAGTAGTAGTATAGTTGTAGTAGTGGTATAGCAGTAGTAGTAGTAGGTAGTAGTATTAGTAGTAGTAGTAGTAAGTATAGTAGTAGTAGTAGTAGTGGTAGTAGTAGTAGTTGTAGTAATGTGTAAGTAGTAGTAATAGTAGTAGTAGTAGTAGTAGTAGTAGTATAGTAGTAGTAGTAGTAGTATAGTAGTAGTAGTAGTAGTAGTATAGTAGTAGTAGTAGTAGTAGTAGTAGTAGTAGTAGTAGTAGTAGTAGTATAGTAGTAGTAGTAGTAGTAGTAGTAGTATAGTAGTAGTAGTAGTAGTATAGTAGTAGTAGTAGTAGTAGTAGATGCAGTTGTAAAAGTTGTAGTGATTGTAGTGCAGTGAGCACTCAGTAATATTCCAACTATATGGCGGCGCTCTGTAAATAATCGAATCTGGACAAGACAATCCAGTGATTAACAGAATGAGCATCGATCTGCGCAACTGGGAACCGATAACATGTGTCAACCAAGTCAGCGTGCCTGACCTTCCGATCCCGTTAGTCGCCTCTTACGACAAGCATGGGTTACTGAAGATCAAATTTTAACCCGGACCTTCACTGGTCTGTAGTGGAAGTAGTAACGGTAATAGTGGTAGTGGTACTTGCAGTAGTAGAGTGAGTTAGTGAGTTTAGTTTTACGCCGCACTCAGCAATATTCCAGCTATTTGGCGGCGGTCTGTAAATAATCGAGTCTGGACCAGACAATCCAGTGATCAACAGCATGAGCATCGATCTGCGCAATTGGGAACCGATGACATGTGTCAACCAAGTCAGCGAAACTGACCACCCGATCCCGTTAGTCGCCTCTTACGACAAGATAGTCGCCTTTTTATGGCAAGCACATGGGTTGCTGAAGACCTATTCTACCCCGGATCTTCACGGGTCCTTGCAGTAGTAGAAGTACAAGCAGTAATAGTAGTTGCAGTGTTTTTTACATAGTTTTAATATTGAGCATACTGCACAGCTGGTTACAGGGAATACGCAACTGATGATAATAAATACATTATGTTCGTTTTTATAGGACGAATATAGACAAATGTTTCCGATGATAAGGAAGAATTTGCTGAATTTGTTCTTTGTGCCTGGGGGTAGTTTCATTAGCTGTCGCATCTTTAACGTATTATGGCTTGGGTCATAATAACAATTATTACCTATTACCTATACTTACGAAGAGGTACCGGCTTCACGAACAGAATAACACAAATTCCCTCATTCGTATTACTCATTTATAGTTTTCCTGTTTATTCAAGGTCAACTATATCTCAAATAAACCTACTTGACACTTTTATACAATCTCAGAGTTGTTTTCCTTGCCATTATTCATTTGACCTATTAGTCCAGGAAAGGGAGCTGAAGAACTTAAAATCGTAGCCTTACAAAAATAATGTTAACTTGAATAGATCATCACTACACATTTCCATGAAAAGTCGGAGAAATGCTAAAATACCCCTGTCTCAAAGAATAAGCTGTAAAACATTATATTACCACGATATGACCATACAAAACAACTTGTTTTGTTCCCAAGCCGTCACTCTAGGAGGGACAAGTGTCAAAAACATCACAAGTATCAACTTTGGGTGTAAATGGAAACATTCGGTGTTCATATTTATGTAAATTTAAGCGCTGAGGAGGCAAAACACGACAAAATGGCGGCCAAAATGGCGGTCAAAATGGCGGCCATTTTTATTCTTTTTCAAAAACGAAAATATGTAAAATAATTTCTACACCCTTTAGCAATACACAGAAGTAAAACTGATTGTGATCGGTTTGATAGTAGCAAAACCTATCTATGATTAATTTTGAGGTGCTCTCGGGCAGCAAACCAAATGTGGCGAAAATGCTCGCAGACATCCACCACATATAATGGCTTGTAAAAAAACCTGATACCACAACCTGAGAGTGTTACAGGCCATTTCTTGAGCCCAAGACATCACACTAGCTTAAAATAGTGTCAAACAAAATCAGTACTGGGAGGCTACGAAATCCTATTTCTAGCATCCTTTTTGATATTCTCCACCTGGACTAACATCCTGTGATATGTGGACCATTTCCGCAGATATACAAGGGCTGATTAATTGATTAGGGTTGATTATATTTTGCTTTCACGTTAAAAATGCCGGAGGACATTTTCTTCAAAAATCCATCGCGTAAGTCAAAACGAGTTTAATATAATAGCTCCTTAGTCTTTGGGAACAGATAGGCCTGTTGGTCTGTTGGTGCCAGATGCTGAAGGAACTCATGTCACACGCGAGTGTAACCATGGCAATAACAAAAGACAAAAGAAATCACAGTTGTGCAAACTTCCACAGTTTGTCAGTCTTAATTTAATCCCGCAGATGTGTAGCATATTATCTGTTATATTTATGGCGTTATGGGAGACAGTCAGGCATTATCAAACCATCTGCATGAAATGTCAATACCACTGCAGCTGTTCCACCATAAGGGACATATGCTACCTTTTATGGTTGGGTGATGCTTCAAATGTTTTGATTGGCCTTTCCACGCAATGTAGAATTCGTGTTTCACTGGAAAGATCCTCTCTGGATCAGCTTCAAACAGCCAGAAGGTTTAAAACGCAACGAGTCGATACTTTCTACTGCCAAAGGATTTTGGGTTTAGGCTATATTACAAAAACCAACAGCAAACAGCAACAACGTACATATTTTGAAAAATGTTTTCATTCATACCAAAACAACATAGATGTCGTACCCAACTGAGACGTTGACAGCGCATCGCGTTCCTCTCCCAATAAAATATAAAAAAGGACAGAACATATGAACCTAACCTCGCACGTATCTTAATGTTGGTATATGGAAATATTCTAGTTTGCTATGCAATGTAAACCCTGAAAGACAGCAGTTCAATATTTCAGCATCAGTTTTCACCGAATTAAATCTATCTGTTGTTTTCTACTTAGTGGCCTTTAAAAAATAATCAGTTTTTGTTCGAGGCATAAAGACGTGAACTTGTCGATATTTACCTGTGTGCATGGGCTAGTTTGTTTTACTTAAGGACAGTGCAGGCTTGATACATGGTACAGGGAAAGATGAATGAGTGGCATGGTGAATGAGTCGATGAATCAAACGAAAAATGTTACTCATAGATATATATACTACCCATCAAAAGTATAGACTCACTAGTGTAAATACAGCCACTTACTACAGTCAAATATTTCATACTGTTTAAAGGTACTGTTTACTCATGTACTGATGTATTGTAAAGCAAATTCGTAACGTTGAAAAAGTTATTGTCATAGGTTCAATATATGATGAGTGAGTGAGTGAGTTAATATTTAACGTCACATCGGCAATATTTCAGCCATATCGTGACGAGAACATTTGATATTGAAATGAAATATATGTATGTTGTAAAAACCTGCCGACGAAGGACAGTAAAACAACTAGAATATCACAGATATGTATGTAAAACTAGTAATTAAATCTAAAACGTTATAACTATAGGGGAAAACAATACAGTATAAAAATGGACTATAAATCGCCAATAACTGAAGGTAGATCACCAGACCAGGGACCATGGGGACTTACATTACTTTTGCTACCTGCATGGACCCTAGTTGGATTTACACCATCTCTTCAGCCATTGGCGACAGAAGAGAAATCTAGCCATAAATTAAAAGCACACATATTCTACGATTAAAAACCTGGTACACTTAAATTGACTAAATGTTTTTGGGACTTACGTACCCTCTCAGGAGGACAATAATTTTACAATACTTCAACCCCCTTTGAGGGTACAGCCACTAACAATATCAGTTACTAATTTAAATTACCAATAATAAAATATTTATCTATTTACAAATCAGTTGACAAATCTAATTCTCTTAAAAATGCAATAATTAAATGAGAACTAACATTATTAAAAAGATCCTTCATAGTTTTTACTTTGAAATAAATACCCCTTGTGATGGAATATTCAACACAGTCAAGCAGGACATGCTTGACCGTAATTCTTTCATCACAAGGGATACAAAAAGGAGGATCCTCACCTTTTAATAGGTACTCATGAGTATATCTAGTGTGGCCAATACGACATCGTCGTATGATGACCTCTTCAAATCTGGACTGACAACCCAAGTAGGTGTAACCAATATAGGGTTTTATTTCATGTAATTTATTTATACCTACTTGGGTGTCCACTTCTTCTGCATCAGATCACGGATGTAGGTTCGAATGCTTGCTTTGTAATCAGAGTAAGGAATAAGAAGTGGTGTCACAGATTTGTCGAGTGCTG